TTAGATTATTTAAAATTTTAAACACTTCTCTTTTTTTTTCAAAAGTGTATTGTCTAAACTTGTCACCTGTTAAACCTTGCACTTTTTTTTCAAATATCAATTCTGTGGTGCACTTTCGCGTGCAATTATCCTCTCTTCGCAATTTTTCTTCTTTCTCCTTGAAGAAAGCGGCGACATTACAGAAGAGATATTCGGTAACGTCATCAAAATCCACCGTTGGTCTCAGTTTCATCAACTCACTTTCCATTTCCACGGTTGATATCCCCACTATATCAACTTTCCGTTTCAAAATCGCCGCGAAGTGCTCGCAGACGCGAAATGTTGAGTGGTAAGTGAAGGTGTGCGAATTGGTTTTTTCTTCTCAGTTGAGTGCGAAAAGATGGCCCCAAAATTGAGACATCCGTTTATCGATGGACTGAGAAACGTTCCAGACAACAGGAAAAAAGAACTCAACAAAATCAAAATTTGGTAAGGAAATTACTTCCTGTTAATTGAGGAAAACTTTTCTCAATGGCAAGACATTTGATTCAATAACAAGGCAATTAACTGTGACAACATTGGTATAATGTTACTTAACGTAACGTTAACTAACTGTTCCATTAAATTATTAATTATTATCACCTCAAGGAAGGTTTCGAATTCCAAAGAGTTGAAATGTTAATTTTATTTTCCAAGTGGTAATTTTTATCACAAAAACAATAGTCGTGTAGGGTTATTTCATTCAAAATGTACAATAGAATTGCAAGCTCTCAGAAAATTAGTTTTTCAAATAACAATACCAAAATTTTCAGTTCATTAAAACTGTTTGTAGTAAAAATATGACAGTAAAAAATTTCATTTATCTCCTTCTGTGATAAATTTGAGAAAATAATGAGTCTTTCTTTATTTGTGCTAAAAATACACTTTCATTTTGCAATATTTGTCCGCAAATTAATGTTTTGTTAATTTGTTTATTAATAAATTGACCATGAAATAATTATTGTACAATACAGGGTGACACACTATTATTAAAATTTTTGAATTAAAAGTTAAAATTTCGTACTCTCAACTCGTCTTTTGTTTTCTATTTTTATTTCTCTAGTAAAATTCGTTGTTGGTTTATGTTTATCTAACAGCAACTTCAATTTGCGATTTCACTCAATGTAGAAAAAAAATTATTACTTATAAAAAAGTTTGCTTAAACACCCTATATACAACCCGGTAGCACAGTAAATATTTTCAAAGTTGATTCTAAAATGTATGAATTAAAAATATAATTTCAATTAATATTGTCTGTTTTTATTTTTCTAACGAAATTCTACATTAATGCATCCTTGTCTAACAGAAAACAGAATTAATTCAAAACTAAAACTATTTTATAAAAATAATTGCTTCAATCTCAATTTTAGACTAAAATAAAGCAATTTGTCATATTTTCAATCGATTTGACTCAATTTTAAGCTGGGAATAAAGTATTTTTTTTTTGAAAAGAAAGCAATTTGAGGTATTTTCAATTCAATTTTTCTCGATTTTCTTACAGAATTAATTCGAAATTAATGTATTTTATAAAAATAATTGCTTCAATGCCAATTTTAGGCTAAAATAAAGCAATTTGTGATATTTTCAAGCGATATGGCTTAATTTTAAGCCGGAAATCAACCTGAATCAAAGTATTTCAATAAAATAATAGCTTGAATAAGAGTTTTCTTACAAAATAAAGCAATTTTGCTATTTTCAAACTAATTTTGCTGAATTTTAATACATAATTAATTCAAAATTAATGTATTTTATAGAAATGATTACTTTAAACACAATTTTAGGCTAAAGTGAAGAAACTTGTGCTATTTCCAAGCGATTTGGATGAATTTTAACAAACTAATGGCTTGAATAAGAGTTTTCGTCCAAAATAAAGCAGTTTTAGCTAATTTCAAACCAATTTTTCTTAATTTTAATACAGAAATAATTCAAAATTAAAGTATTTTATAAAAATAATTTCTTCAATTTCAATTTTAGGATGAAATAAAGCAATTTGTGATATTTTGAATCGATTTGGCTCAATTTGAAGCCGAAAATCAACCTGAATTAAAGTATTTCAACAAAATAATAGCTTGTATAAAAGTTTTCTTCAAAAATAAAGCAATTTGAGCTATTTTTAATTTAATTTCGTTCAATTTTAATACAGAATTATTTCAAAATTAATAAAACAAATTAATTTATTTAATTAATTTCGAATTAACTCTGTATTACAATCGAGAAAATTTAATTGAAAATAGCTCGAATTGCTTTATTTTAGAAGAAAACTTTTACTCAAGCCAGTATTTGGTTGAAATACTTTATTCCCAGCTTCAAATTGAGCCAAAACGATTGAAACATCACAATTTATTTTATTTTAGCCTAAAATTGAGATTAAAGCAATTATTTTTATAAAATACATGAATTTTGAATAAACTCTGTAGTAAAATTGAGCGAAATTAAATTAAAAATAGCTCAAATTGCTTTATTTTTGAAGGTTTACTTAACTTAAAAACTTAATAGTTTTTCTAGTTGAAACACTCTGTATACAGTTCGATGGCACTCTAAATTTAAAAAAAAAACGACTGGTCTGATGTTCTTTCTCTTTCCTTGTCTAACAAAATTTATCTTTGTCTAAAAGATTGTCCTTAAACTTGCGATTCCACTTCTAGTTGCTCAATAGCAATAAAAGTTGAAACATTAATTGTTCATAAAACTGCAAACGCTAATTAAATTTTTTTGCATCACTATGTCAAAATACTCCTGGGAATTTGCGCTTTTATTTGCTTTATTTTTATTAGAATTATAAAATAATAATTTTGTTTTTACTAAAAAAATAACCTTGTAATGGTGTTTTAAATATGAAACCGTAAACGAGAAATTAATTACTGTAAGACGCAAACAGCGACTACAATTAAAAATAATTATTGTTATCAAAGATTATCACAGGTTGTGGTAGGTTAAGTATCGGGGAAAAAATATAAATTGTGTTTTTATTATTCTGTTGTTGTTTTTGAATTATTTATGATTTTATAACAAATTTGTTATATAGAGTGGCTTAGATGTTCCAGGCCAACAACTTGTTACATTAATTAAATGAAATAATTCTAATGTTTTTAATCAATTTTTTAATTAAAAAAAAAAAACATTTTTAAATTGAGAAATGAATTTTGCGGGCAAATCGAGTTTATTTTTTCAACACCTTTGGTAATTACCCAACAAACCACATCACTGTATTGATTTCGAAACTAATAATACCTTCTTTCAACATCAAATATAGTCATTGCAAGTTTAATATACAACTGAAAAATAATTAGGTTAATTAGCCAAAAGTAGGTAAAACGATCAAATGGGAAATTGTCCACATTGTATGTAAATTAACCGTTTAATGTTAATTAATTAAAATGACACGATGTCGCGACTATCACACTTTTATTTTATCGAAAAATCGACCTTCGAGAATCACGCTGTAGATATTTACAAATTCGATTTTGCTTTCGCTGTCATATTTTGACTACTTCACGGTCAAGTTTCACTGCCAAAAAGATATAGTTTACACAATATACGTTGATGTAACTCAAACAATTTTAAATGCAAATCAACACATGTCAATTAGAGCAAAGCAATTAATTGTGGTAGGTAGTCCTCGTGTAATTGTTTGCTTTTATTAACATTTATTAAAATAACAGCGAAAGTGGAGAGCGAGTTGCGAAACTGGGAGTTTAACCAGTGGCGCAGCGAGGGGAGGGGGGTTAGGGGGTTAAACAAAATCAGGCAAAAGTATTTTGTAGTGGTAATAAAACTAAAATTATATTATAAAAACCAAATAAAGCATTCGAATTTTGAATACAATTATTTTCGATTTTGTCATAACTTCAGAAGACTTTTACTTTTTTATTTTGTAAATTGCAAAAAAACTGTATCTCAATGATATAATATTTTGACCTGTATGATTAAAATTAAATTTTATATTCAACGGTACCCAATACAAAAGGTAATCTCTAATAAGTCCGGAGTTACTGCCATTAGACCGCTCCGGGTGCCAAAAATCGACCAAAATCACGACAAAAATCAAAAAAAAATTTAACCTTAAAATTGATTCATTTAACGTTTTTTACATTTCTAGAGGTCTTAAAGACTTAAATAAGTGCATAAAATGTTATTGGGTCCACTTTTAAAAATTTTGAATTATCTTAATTTTTCACGGAGAACGGTAGTAGAATCGTAAAAATAGTCAATTTACTAAAAATCGTAAAAACGGTTGAAATATGGTTTTCTAGACGTAAAATTACTCGCTGAACACGATTCAACTAGTTAGAATACTCTACGATGCATAGTTTTTGAGATATTGAGTAATAAATTTAAGAATAAGTCTAGAAAAATCCAATTTTGACCAAAAAAATCAAAATTTTTTTATTCTTATCAAAAACTAGCACTATATGTAAAATTAACCGGAGAACACGCCTGTATAAACCCTGTTGACCTAAGACTCATAGTTTTTGAGATATTAATTTTTTTTTGAAAAAACTAAAAATGGCTCTGTACCCGGAYCCATAACCCGGAGCGACTTCCGGTTTGCGCCAATAAATAGATAATTTCAAGCTACTTTTAATGTTTTTTAGCTCTTTGCTCTAAATCTTATAGTTTCCTAGAAAAACGCGTTTAAAGTTTCACAATTTTGAAAATTTTGACTTTTTGAACGGCGATTACGGCCAAACTATTAGACTTAGAGCAATCAGTCCAACTCCATCGTAATCAGCGTAAGAAAATCTATCGACTGAGGCCAAAGCCAAGTCGATATCTCGCAAAAAAAATTTGAATTTTTAAACGCCGATTACGGCGAAACTAAAGGAGATAGCGCAAAATAGTTGGTAAATTCGTAATCAGCGCGTCAAAATCTATCGGATAAGATAGGTTTAAATCGAATCTGAGACATGTTCAAAAACACTAGATCTTAAGGGGGGGGTGTTGACAAATTTTTAGTTTTTTTTAATTTGTAAATTGCGGCAAAACTGTGCCTCAATGATGTAATACTTTGACCTAAACCTATGTAAAATGTTCCGGGGAATCGATTGGCGTAAAAAAAACTGCAAAATTCCTAATAGTTTTGAAGTTATAGACGGATTTATATTTTGGATATTTTTGACTTTATCACAAATTTTCTCGATAACTATTCATCGTAGAGCACTGAACTTTCCAATATATGATGGAAAATTCAATTTTCTATCCAACGGTACCAAATATAAGAGGTTATCTCTAATAAGTCCGGAGTTATTGCCATTAGACCGCTCCGGTGCCAAAAATCGACCAAAATCTCGACAAAAATCAAAAAAAATTTTATCTTTAAAATTGATCTATTTTACGTTTTTTACATTTCTAGAGGTCTTAAGGACTCAAATAAGTGCATAAAACGCCATTGGGTCAAGTTTCAAAAATTTTGAATTTTTTGAGTTTCTGAAGGTGAGCGTAGTAAAATC